TCATTTCTCTTCACAAATCAAACTTCCTATCATTCTTCTTTTCCGTCTCTTTCCACCTTGACCTGTTCTGAGTGAATACGTCGTTGGATAAGCCTATTCTGATCCACCTCGTTTCTACAAACTTCCTGAACAAATCAAATGTATTTTTCAAGACTGGACTCAGTTCCGACGTTCCTATAGTGAGAATCATCTCAGCGTCATTGTCTTTCTCAACCTGAATCAGGGCAAAGGCTGCTGACAATGACTTTCTAATTTTGCTTGTCTTGGACTAGCTTCTATTGATATTATTCCTAGGAATTCCACTTTTCTCTTCATCATTCTGTGAAACATTCCTCCTTCTACACCAGAGCAACAAAAAGCCCTCGGCTGGCGAGTCATGAAAGCATGAGTACACTGAATATCCACATTCTACAAACATGTATTCAAACCAAATAAAAGGTCACAAACATTCATAAATATAAGGTTTAAATGCACATGTATATTCTACATATACAGGTACATATATAATAATATGCATTTCATAATATGCGTGAGAATGCTTTTGACAGAATAAGCGGCGATTTCTACTCAAATTGAAGATTGAAAATCAACTTCTTACATTTTTTCAACTTGTTCAATTAGGTGGATCCTCATTGTATGTTTCGATTTTTCTATTCGGACGATGCAATTAGTTATGAGTGTTTTGACCTACTTTGCACTGGAGTATACAAATAAGATGAAATGCTAGACTAACAGAAGGTTTGATATGTAAAGAATATTAAAAAAAGGTTTTGATCTGTCCTTCAAACAGCACTTGCTTACAGCAACCTTCAGATTTAAAAAAAAGAATAATTCGCGTGGCCTCCCTAATAAGCGTCCTTTGAGACTCATGATCATTTTTTTCTAAGATATTGTATCAAGACTTCATATTTGTGTACATTCACATTAAACACATACTGCAAAATACTTTCAGGTCAATAATTATGTCATAAACTCACATCTTACCATAAGTCAAACATTTCATGCGACCTGAGGGGAAAAGAAAGAAACATGTCCCAACACGCTGTTGGTCTGAAACGTAAGTGCGTACAAGCTGTTGCTAAATGCCATTATTCATTCGGAAAATGTCGATAAATGATCGGCTTTACGGGTCATCATTGTTGGCATATAGACGACGTCATTTTCAGTCGGCAGCGGCGGTTTTCAGTGACCCACTCACTCAGACCCGAAACTCCAAGCATCGAGTTCGTCTGGGCAGCAGCAGCGGCAGCAGCAACAGTCGACCACCTCGCCTTAGAACTAAAGTGCTAGCAGACCTGGCTTGGCTTCCTGGCTAGTTTCAATCTTCACACCTGGGTGATGTTGTTCCTCACTTTGGAGTCGGTCACGGCGATGGTGGCGTTGTAGTCTCTGTCGCCCATGGTCAGCAAAGGCATCCCAGCCGCCTCGGTAGTGGGTTTGCACTGACGCATGCACACGCCACACAGAGCCGAATGAACGAAGCTCCTGAAAAAAATACCGCCAAATATGCTTATGTTATTGGGATGCCTCTAGGTGGACTCATCATACACTGTCCACCTTTCTCTATCCTAGTCTAGCCTCTTGATATTATCCCATGTCTTCCACTGTTTCGTACATCATTCTCCTAAGATGTGGTATGTCCCAATAATGTCTACAAAGGAATATATTTTCACTACCCAACACAACACTATAATATTTCCTGTAACTAGTTTTGTCAGAAGTACACATTACTGAGAGCTAAGTATGGAAAGGATTGTGAAGTCGAGCAAGTCAGGAAAACATTTCTTGTGTTGTGACAAAAAGTTCGTTAAAACATTAGCTGTGACATACTCATTGCTTGAGGTTGAGATCACACTTTTATATTAAATGAGAAGCAATATTCAACTTGTTAAAAAGTTGTCATAATGTTTTACTTATGTCAGTTTTTATGCTACCCTAGACTTCAGTACTTTCTATTTTGGTTCGAATTCCCTAAAGAAAGTTGTTGTTTTGGGGTTCTGTTGTTGTTAATGAAAAATCAGTTTCTAGTGAACCGTACCTAGAGGATCAATACTTTTTCACGTACCAATGTGCACTGAGACTCCACCAGACAACTGGCGTTCGAACATTCGTTAACTGCGCTTACTTTACTTGTTTTCTGTCCTCTCAAACCGCAGGGGTATGGAGGGGTGATGCAATTGTCGGAAATTCTTGAACATGTTTGGAAAGCCATAATTTCACACCCGCCGAAAGCTAAAATAATTAGATATTCAGAAAGATACTGAGTGTCTCAAGCCATACTTGTAGTAAGTTGTACTTTTGGAACCTGGTAAAGTTGTTTGACTTTTTCCGAAAGAACACATCCCATCATATATAATTATGCAACACCCTTCAACTTCGATCTAGTGACAAGCTCTATCTAGGTACTTGTTGCTTTTTAAATTGTGAGAGGGAAATGGTTCTAGCTATGTTTTTGTACATGTTTAAGGCCTTAGATACACAAATTAGCTCATTTGGGAGGCCGACTACTTTGACCCTGACTCTCCCAAACGGAATGGCGTACAGCTTCCAGCATTAGATGCATATCCTCGATAAGATGCACTTCCCCTTAAGAATCGAACTCGCTTCTCCTTGCGAGCAGCCTAACCATTACGCTAGAGATACTGGTGCTGGCTCCTGAAATACATGTATAAGCCATTATAAGGAACCATATAGCTTGAAGTGAATCATCTGTGCATTCTGACACACTGATTTTCCCTAGTGATGTCTACAAAGTCGGGAAGAAATGTACCGCATGATGGCAAAAAGGAAAAGAGAACTCCAAACCCAGGTTGGAATAAGGGCAGAATCGATATTGTCTGACAACAACAAAAATGCAGCCTTGGCAAAAACATAAAAAAGTAACAGAAAGTTTTAACCCCAGGACTTCACAAACGTTGGGGCTTAAAAACTGCCCAGAATGAGAAACATTCCCATGTCAGAAATTCAAATATGTAAAGTTTTTAACCCAAGGTTAGGGTGGAAGCTAAATAATCTCTTTAAAAAAATGTTTACAGAAAATATTGAAAATGTAAATAATGAAAATATAAGGCTTGCTCATGCAAATTGAAACAATACAGGATTCCAGATCCGGCTGACATATTCGCTGCAAATAAAAATATTATGAGATTTTTTGCTCAAATATTCATACACTATGTTTTTTTTTGTAAATGAATGCACAAAATCTCATTGGGTTTGAAGTCTATAGTTATTTTACTAGCGTACCATTGTCGGATACCTCAACAAAGCCTAAGCCCCCCCCCCCCCCCTTCTTCTGGTATAAACATCCAAACCTTTATAACTCACCCCTGTGAGCATCCATCTAAAATCCATTCCATTGATATTGCTTGGCAATTAATAGTTGCTAGCCAGCTGATAAAAATGAGCTCTCTACTGGCCTCGTTGCATATTATACGGCAGGAGCATGTAATGTTAACGACATTATTATTATGGATCTGGCCTTCAACAAAGCTATATTTATTTTTTAATGCGTTACCGTTGCTGTACGAGTCCGCCAGATGACGAGTGGATAGTGAGCTCTGGATGAGGAAACAATGTCAAGCATTGAACATGACACCGCATGCACATGGCTCAGATGGGCATTCGCTAGGGAAAATACGCCAACCACAGATGAAACAAAAAGGGTCCTACACTTTGGGACCATCAATAACGGGCTTGTATAGTCCTCTTCTAGGTCCTGTGCATTATGAGCTATTAATGTAACCATTAGATTAATGGATCCATGCATCGTGCTTTGTAACCATTTCTCCCAAATATCCAAGGGGAAATCAGGATGTGGGTGGTTAGCGGGTGCTCTAGTGTGGTTTGCTCTTTCTTTCCTATCAATCATCTATCGTCCTTATCTCTGCTCCATCTTTTCTGTGTATGTTACTCTCTTGTAGATCATCTAATTGTTGGCACGTATGTAGCCTGATTGTGTTGCTAGTTCCGTAGAAACTCTTACCTAAACTTAACAAGGAAATCAAGAGATGCGGTATTTTTTCTGTTTTCCTTTCGTCCTTTTACCTGTACTTGGAATCCAACACGTAGAAAACCAGCGGGTTCACCGCTGAGTTGGAGAAGGACAGGCAGAAGCCAAGGATCTTAAAGGCGTACCAAAAGTCATCGAAATTCCCAGGGTCGAAGTGGTACCACAGCAGGTAGGCGTGGCGTGGAGCCCAGCAGACAGCAAACGCGGCTGTAGACGAAGAGACGACATATGATAATAAATATCAATAACAGTAAGGTATAAGATAGTGAATACTATGTCGTTATTACAATGCAAGCATTTTAATTTTAACCATTTGAGCCCTGATATCCTAAGCCCAAACGGAGCTGCAGACGAATAGACGACGAAAGTAGTCGATACTGTCTAAGACGGAAATCAATTTTCGATGAGAAAGTGGTCGTTTTAGACAGGTGAATGTCTTACACAGTGCCATTATAGTATCAAAATTGCGCAAGGGAAGAAAGGGGTAGTGGCAGTTTGTACAGATGATTGTCTTATATAGGTGACCATTAGAGCAGGTACTACTGTATTTGTAACGGCCAGATAGCGAACACCGTGTCGTTGCAATTGCCAGTTAAGCTGTTTGAGCCCTGATCTACTAAACAAACAGAACCGGTGCCCCTGACTTTCACATGCTTTACTGATTTACATCACCGAACTCTGAGGCTTAGAAGGATTGAAAATGGTAGCTCGAGTCCTTAAAGTAAAGGCTGAGTCCTAAATCGGCTTGTTGACGAGCTAAGATTTAGAAAATGTACGTTTGACAGATGGGAAAAGGTATAAACTCAAATGAAATAAATTAATGTCTAAGTAGGTAATCTACTAAGGTAAAAATAAAAGGCTGTTAACCATATGAACTTTTGATTTTTAAAGCCCCTGTCACTCAACATAAGCAAAAGAAAAACAATCATTAGCGACACGGTTAACAGTCATCTACCATCTGCCACGACTAACAATCGGTATAATATAATCATTTTAAGAGTATATCATCAAAATAATAATTTCATATTCGTTTTGGCACGAGACACATTACTGTTTCAATTCAGGAGATTCCATTTCATTTCATTTTTTAGAATCTGTAAAATCTGAAAATAAAAAACTGCGAAAGTCAAGTCCACATTTAATGTAATGAATTTTCTGCTACTCCTACATGTCATGAATTGGTACGATTCTGAAAACCAGAAGATGTTAATAGTATGCTATAAAAAAATGACTTTTTGAAGGACATTTCCCTGCTTGAAAGGAGACACAGTGTGATTACAATGTACTATTACTCCGATATACTTTCTAACATTACGAAATTCCACGGCTTCCTCGAAATCCTTAAGTGCAACCGCCTTTGTCCAGACGCTGACGCACAAGTATACTGAAAAGATCTTCCCTTGTCTTCGCCGGCTACTCATTATCACCTTAATGAAGTGTGGAAAATAGGTATAAGCTGTTTTATTTTCCAAAGAACGCAACGTCGGATCTGGACTAAGGTTCTAACAAGTTACCATATTCATGGTAATCTGTCATAACTGAAAAGGCTTAAATTGCCATGATATGTCAAACCTGATCAAAATACTGAGTACTGTGGTTCTCCTAACTTGCATGGTATGATAACGTCGATATTGATGTACTTTAAAACTAGAATTTGCGAAAATTGCTGTAAATAAAAATGTTTACGAAATCAAGAGTCAGCATGGGAAGGGGAAGGTTTGAAATGATACTACAACGAGTCAAGGCATCATGGCGACATAAGAAAACTGTATACTTCATTCTGTAGATCGATAGTTTTGAAATCAAGAGACACCTCGTAGAACTGAACGTATGGTTATTCTTCAGGGTGGATAACAAAATGCGTATAAATTGTCTTCAAATACAATGCTTTGGAATGTTTCTAGGGAAAGCAGACCAGCAATTTTTTGAAAAATAAAAATTGTTATACATCCATTGTTTTAAGCAAACCAAAATCAAATTGGTCTCCCTCAAATGCTAACTGCTTCTTCTCATTTGGTTGTTTTCACGTTTATTTCCATAAGCTGCTTTTTTTGTTTGTTTGTTTGGGGGGGGTGTTGTCGGTGTTTTTTTGTCATTTGGTCTTGAGCACAACACTGAATGTAGAACTAAAATTCATCTTTATAGTCTTACGTCAAAACTTTTCTTATAAATTATTGACACAATTCAGATCAATTAAGAGGCTGGCTGCTTGGACTGCTTGTCAGGGCCATCTCACTAGAATGAAGTGCAACATCCCAGAACACAGACAAAGATGTTTTATAGAATTGAATTTCCTATGCAGGGGTAGAACTCAAGCATCATGTGTTCAAACAGTGGGAGCCGAAACGTTACATCTCTAACACCTGTCTTGCGTCTTTTCCAAGGACAAAAGCTTTAACACTTCTCGACACAGGACACTTCTTAATCTGGACTATTAGCGATTTGTAAAGGGAAAAAAATCTCTTCATCTAATATATTTTCTAAAAGGCAAGCGCAACCTTCCCGGCTGGGCAGGAATTTTATAACTTAACAATCACCAGCCTAAGGGATTAGCCACTAGAGCCCACGACGTTTGAGCATTAACAGCAGTATTTAAGCGACTACTTATCTCAGCATTTCCTCTCTCCAAGGAATTTCCTTTCTTGCCCTTAGAATTTCAGAAGACATCACTTTTACCCAGTCCAGCTTGCTTCCGTCAGTGCAATAATGTTTCAGTGAACTTGGCATAACCTCTCTCTCTCCTTCTCTCTCTCTCTCTCTCTCTCTTCTCTCTCTCTCTCTCTCTCTCTCTCTATATATATA